AAATATTTCAAATACTCTAGCATTTTGCTAAATCTCCCCTTTTCTTTGTAAAAACAAGTCATTTTAGATTCGATATTATATCTTTCCTGGTGACATATTCTCCTGCACTTTTTCAATTTCTAAAATGTCGGAATGCTACGCAGATGACGTACATCTCTTGAATATGAGCGGAAAAGGGCACAGGCTTAAGTCCAGTATTTTGACTGACTGCCAAGCTGAATGACAATTGATAGCAAAGAAAGATGCTGTGAATCGTTCTCATTAAGATGAGAATGAAGGTCACATATTGTACTTTACCAAACTACAAAAATATTTCTACTATGAATTATCAAACATTTCAATGGCTAAAGTCTAACTACTGTTCATGCTGGAACCTAATGAAAGGTTGAAGCCGATCCCCTTCTAACAATCATTGGAGGAAAAGAGGTTTTTTCTGATGTTCCTATATCGTGCTCCAAATTATGAAGAGATATTATGTATTTCATTCCATCAGCAACTGGCATTTACAGTGCCTGAAGAGGAAAGATTCAATTATAGGCTTCCCTAATTAATGTGCCACACATCTAATCTTCACAGAATTACACTTAAAAACAAGCCTCTTCAACAAGAGACGCGTTTAGACATAATTCACTATTCAATCAAAATGTCTCCCCTTCATACGCTTTTATTTATAGTAGTATCACTGAGAAAAAAAAAACCTAGAGGAACTTGAATATGAGAATAAGCAGCATCTGTGATACTCTTGTCAGCCATCCATTATAATGGCTGCTCTTCCTGGAAAAAAATGCTAGAAAAAGCTGTGACTTCAGAGAAGTGGGTGGCCTGTTTGTTCTGAAAGTGTGACAGTGTAGATTATAAGCATGTGGTTTACAAGCGTAAGTGCGTAAATAGGCTAAATATAGGTAAAATTAAGTATAAGCAGTTTATAATTTAGCTCTTAGTAGCTATCATGCCCATAAATTTTGTAATCTCACTGTTCAAGCATGCCATCGTCGAAGGTGGAAACTCATTGATTTGTACCCCTTTACTATCCAAGGAGGTATTAATAGAGTGAATGTCTCAAAGATTTGCGTTCCCCACTTTGCGTGGGATCCATAGAAAGGCGATCTATCCAGAGATGCTGCCTTCGTTCACTGTCTGGACTATTCGTTTAGCTTTTATGAAAGTACATGAACTTTATAATGGTTTGCTAATGAACGTCTGATAAATGAGATGAACCTTTTGAAAACATCTGAAACCTTTTAATACAACGAGTTGAGTTCATTGTTTATTTACATAGATTCAGAGTACATTTTTTAACAACTACCGTACCTGTATTAAGCGTGCTAACTCAGATCTATTTTTCTCTAAACTTCCATTCAGAATAAAGTTATCTTCTGAAATAATATCGGTAATTTGGCAATGCTGACCATTAATATTTAATGTAAATAGTACGTGCTTGCTCAGTAGCTAATTCAATGGCTAATTCTGAGTGTAATTTTGAAAGTTTTCGAGCCTGTATAGTGGTAAAAAGAAACACAGGCTCTCCACGTCCAACGTCGGTCTTTCTGTTCACATTATTGCATAGTCACAACTCCCTATTGAGTTGTGTTCAGATATCACTACCTACTCACACTTTTCGTGCAAAACCATCAGCCTCAGAACCGATGCACTAATGAATTAAACTATAGTTGTTCTTCAGACGCTTTTTGAAGCGAACTAATATGTCAATTTGATCTTATCAAACGCAATGTACGGTTGACAGTATATGAAGCTTTGCGGTTCGAAGTCTTACGTTACTCTGTTTTGTACTAGCTATAGAAAATTGTCATTATATGTTTACCGAAATTTGCTGACTTGAGTACTACTCGTCTTATAATGTGGTCATTAAGAAATGTTATATAAAAATCTAATTGAATAAACGAAGACAAATTATTGCTGGTCGACAGCCATTTACGAAAACTCTGGACCTCGATGGGCTTAGCTATTGGTTCTTTCTCTTCTTGACTTCATTTCGTTTAGGGGCAAAGTTTTCAAGAAGATTAATTTTACTCTTTCCTGATATTCTCCACCTACGAAAATCTATGAAGATTCAGCTTTGGCAAGACAAAGCATTTAGTATTTGTTCTTGATTACGTGGCAAAGGTGCCTGCAATTTTCAAGATTTATTAAATGTCGAGCATGATAAGACAAAAAGTCGTCTAATCACTTTCATTGTCGTTTTTACCCTTACAGATACTTTCATGGGTAATGACGATAATTTTCGCGACAACGTGACCATCGCGACTGTCCCTTTCACCACAAATTTCTCTGTTAAGCGTTCTATCCTCTGGTCTCGTTGAAGTGCATATTGCGTAGGTTGCATCCATTACCGCATCCAGAAGCGCAGCAGCTTTGTTGAATAGCTTTTCCAGCGACATGAC